GTGGTGGCGCGTGCCTGCAGTCCCAGCTACTTGGGAGGCTGAGGTAGGAGGACCACTTGAGCCCAGGAGCCGGAGGTTGCAGTGAGCTATAGTCACACTACTGCACTCCAGCCTGGGTGACAAAGCAAGACCCTGTCTCTAAAAAACAAAAAAACCCCAAAAACTGCCACCCGACCACTTCAGGCTCCTCTTGCCTCTGAATCAACAGGCAGAGAAGGGAGTTACCATGCTGGCTGGGGTCACTGGCCCTGACTACCAAGGGGAAATTGGATAGCACTGCACACAGGAGGGAAGGAAGCTTATGTCTGGAACACAGCAGATCCCTTAGGGCATGTTTTAGTATTACCAGGCCCAGTGATTAAGGTCAATGGAAATCTACAACCCAATCCAGGCAGGACTACTAATGGCCCAGCCAGGGGTGGGGAACCTGCGGCCTCAAGGCCACATGTGGCCCTTCAGATCCCCAAGTGCGCCCCTCGACTGAATCCAAACTTCACAGAACAAATCCCTTTATTAAAAGGATTTATTCTGTAAAATTTGGATTCAGTCAAAAGGCCACACTCAAGGATCCAGACAGAAATGAAGGTTGGGGTCACTCAGTAGCTAAAGAACCGCAATGAGTTAAGGTGCTCTCGGAAGGCAGAGGGGATACAGGATGGACGATGGGAGAGGGTAGCTACAAACATTGGCTACAGCCACCCGGCCAGTTACAGAAATGAGGACTGTAATTGTCGTGAATATTTTCTCCTTATTTTATGAACATGTTAGCATATGTGTATAGCAAATACCTTTGGGTTTTTTCCCTTCTTATTCCCTTATCATGTAACATGATGCATTGACTTTATGTCATAGTGTGTAAGTGTGGTTAATTTTACATCATTGCATTTAAGTTACAGGACATAAGGGGAGAAGAGTAAAGCTCACTCAAGGACTTTACCTCTTCTTCTGGGGAAGGAGTTAGTGTATTTTCTGTTGGACACAGGATAGTTGTATTCTGTTGGGCAGAATTATGACCATCTTTTTTTTATTTGGAGGTTTAGCATGGTTTAAAGAGGTGTGCATGCATGCCAAGCTGACACCGGGTGGACTTGTGATGGTTAATTCTATGTGTCAACTTGACTTGGCCATGAGGTGCCCAGACATTTGGTCAAACATTACTCTGGGTGTGTCTGTGAGAGTGTTTCTGCATGAGATTAACATTCGAATCAGTACACAGAGTGAAGCAGACTGTACTCCCTAATGTGGGTGGGCCTCATCCAATCAGCTGAAGGCCTGAATAGAACAAAAAAGCCAACCCACCCACAAGTAGGAGGGAATTTCCTCCCACCTGACTGCCTTGAGCTGGGACATTTTTTCCCTGCCTTTGGAATTGAACTAAGCATTGGCTCTTGCTGAGTCTTCAGCCTGCCTGCATTTGGACTGGAACTATATCATTGGCCCTCCTGGGTCTCCAGCTTGCCGACTGCCCATCTTGGAACTTGCCAGCTTCCATAACCATGTGAGCTAATTTCTCATAATAAATCTCCTTTCATATATGTATATGTATAAATACATATCCTGTGGTTCTCTTTCTCTGGAGAACCCTGACATAACACATTTTTAAAAATCCTGCAAAGGCAAAGTTATTCTAATGTCATTCTCACAAAAGGAAAAAGGAAGCTGTAGCTTTAGGAAGTGTACACCTGTCCCTCCCCGGTGGTAACGTAGCGACGTGCTCCCCTTTAGCACCTACTCACATCAGGGTCCAGCTCATCCAGCTCGTTTTCCAGGGTCCTGAGCTCTTCCTCTGTTAGGGCTCCAAGGATTTCGTCTTCATCCAGGTCACGGTATTTTTCTAGTTCTCGTCTGTACGACATTGTGGAAGAACTTGTCTTTGTCTCCTGAGTTTCTGTGCTGATCTATGACCGACCAGAAAGAGAAAAATCTTAGAAAAACCCTACTCTGATTTTATGTCCCAAAGCAAATGGATGCTCCTCATTCACATGGTGGCCTGGGCGTGTTTTGTGAACCGCCAGGATACTAATTACTACAGTGGAACACTGCACTGAGTTTGACTAATTCTCTAACAAAACTGCACAAGGTAAAAGTCCTGAGCGCATGTGATTTAATGAGTGGTAATTGGTTGTAATTGGCATGGACATTAATTACAAGTAAATGGGTGATTATAATGGCTTATGAGTGCCTGAAAACAATTTTATTCTTCAAGTAGTTCAAATACTTCCTGTATAACCCTCCACCCCTCACCCCACACCCCAGTGGGAATCATGAATGCTGTAAATGCTGCCAAAGCTGATTGTAAAAGGGGGAGAGTATACAATGGTTAATTGAGCACCTACTGCATACAGGCCCTCACCTGTTCCATTTCATTGAACCATCACAAAAAGGAGCCTCTAGTAATAGCTAACTTTTACTACCATACACCAGGCTGTGTGTTAAACACTTGCCAAAGATTTTCTAGTTTAACCTATGAGCTAAATATTTACTCTTATCACCATTTTACAGATGAGGACACAGCTTAGAGAGGTTAGGCGACTTACCCAAATCACGCCACTGGGAAGTGACAAATCCACATTTGAGCTCAGGTCTGTTGTGCTGGGAGTGTAGTTAACTCCCTGCGACACTGTTGGCCATCCGAGCCTGCATGGCTCTGGCCATTGCGTCACGGCACCTTTTTCATAGAATCACCCAATGTCATGGCCAGAAGGAGGCTGCATAGTCCCCTCGTTTTAGTCATGAGGGAGCTGGTTTGGAAGGAAGAAGTGCTTTGCCTGGGGGATCCAGGGTGATCCAGGGATACCAAGGTCCACATCTGCTGCTTCCCAGGCTGCTCTCTCTTGCTAGAGAAGGCTACCATTCATTGCCCATCTCACAGATGACACCTAATACCTCTGCTACTTCCAATAGCCATGACATTTTCAGACCTGTTGACTCATCTGAGCCTCACGACACACGCTGTAAGTTAGGACTTTTAATTAAAACCAATTTATCAGTGAAGAAACTGAGGCATGGCCTAGGGTGCTCTCCACTATACCATACTGCCTCTTGCCTACGCTGGGAGGGTTAAGGGGCTCACTCCTTCTGTCCTCCAGCTCGACTAAAGCTGCCTGGTAACACGACAAGTCAGAGAAGTCTTGGCATCCCCTCACTCAGCAAAGTTCATCATGATCTGTAAGCACTGGGCCACACTTCTGTCTGCAGCCTGTGCATCTGTCTCCCGCATGCCTTCCTCATGGGCAGGATCTGGGTTTGCTCCATCCACCTCTCCCAGGGCCCAGCCCAGGGCTATGCATATAGCAGGAAGTTTCTCCCTGAAAGGAACCCATTCCAGTTCTCTACCTGCCTTTGGTGGTCGATCAGGCAGCCCCGAGGAGACTCTGGGCTCTTCTCCTCTTGGGAAATGTTAGCTTGCTGCAGACACTGCTATTATCTCTGTCCCCTCCTGTCCTTTAACCTACCTGAGCTGAGCCACCAGCCTTCCTTTCTGAAGCTAACGGGCTGGCAGGTAAGGCAGCAGCTCAGGACTTCCTTAAATTCTGCAGAATAGAATGTAGTACTGCTTATAGAATCAGTGTGATGGGTTGAACTGTGTCCCCTGAAAATCCATACGTTGAAGTCCTAACCCCGAGTGCCTCGGTCACCTAGCACCCACCACGTTACAGGTAAGAATGTGACCTTACTGGAAATTGGGTCATTACAGATGTCATTAGTTTAGATGAGATCACATTGGAGTAATGTGGGCCCCTAATCCAATGTGACTGGTTTCCTTATAAAAAGGAGAAATTTGGACACAGGCACACACACAAGAACACCACCAAGTGACGATGAAGGCAGAGATGGGGGTGATGTTTCTACAAGCCAAGGAATGCCACTGATTGCCAGAAAACCAGCAGAAGCTAGGGGACAGACCTTGAACAGATCCTTCCTCACAGCCTTCAAAAGGAACCAGCCCTGCTGACACCTCGGTGTCAGACTTTTGGCCTCCAGAACGGTCAGGCAATATGTGTCCATTGTCCAAGCCACTCAGTTTGTGATACTTTGTTATGGCAGCCCTAGCAAACTTACGTAATCAGTATCACCTTCTACACAGCAGTTTATATTTTTAGACCCCCATGCCAAAAAACCAAACAAATAAATGAAACCCATGACTCATCTGTGAAATGACTGACGGAATTTTCCAGAGTAGAGAAATATGAAAACTAGGAAAGGACAACCAACCAATCAATCAAAAAGCTGGGGTTAGCTGTTAACTAAAAAGAATTAAAGTCAACAAAAATAAACTAAAACCACGTTCACTAAGCTAACAGAAAGAGCCTACATTTCAGCAAACAGAGAGCACACTTTGTCAGAGTGTCTGTGCATGTGTGGGCATATTTGTAGGAGAAATCCAAGGATATGACAGCCGGCTTGATAAGAAGGACTTGCTTCCCAAATACAGAAACCCCAGTACCATGCTTTTCTCTAAGAATGGCTCGGCTTGGCCTGACGTCTTCCTTTGACCAGACCCCAAGAATGCAATGTTCAGACCATAAATGGGCCCCCTACTTGATCCATTTCTATTTACTTCCAAAGAAAGTACAACCAGCTGACAATGCTCTGGTATAGATGAAAAAAACCTTCCTGAAGGTCCTCCGAGAACAACCTAATTTGGCTTTTCCTAAGTGAAGCCAGGACAGGGAGAGGATCTGTGATCTCCTCCCTGGGGCCGAGAGGGACCCTAACGAAGGGCTCAGAGGCTTCCAGGACCAACGCACAGAGATGTCCAGAGCCACCTCCAAACTAGGGTCTCTCGGGCTGCAGAACACAAGGTTTTGGTGCTCAAACAAGTTTTGGGTTATACGAAGTTCCACAGGACTCTGGACAGCAGGACTTCCCAAACATTTTGGTATGCTACTATGCAATGGCATCTCCAAGAGGAGTGGGCTGCGAGCATAATTTCCCAATCCTTTTGACTCTCCCAGAATTGGAATCTCATGAAACAAAGTTTGGAAAACACAGCCTTAGACTCACCTCTGGGTCACATCAGGGAGCCACTCAGAACCTCGAAGGAAAGCGCACAGGGACAGGACCAGCTGGGACACTTCTGGGGAAAGTCAGGCAGGTTTGGAACCGTGGGAACTCCCATCCCTGTTACCTTTTCCAGCTGACTCACTTTCTAGATGATCTGTGGTAAAACCCTTAGAAAAAGAGTCATGGACAGACCCTGGAGAATGGACAAGCCAGGATGAGGGAGCCAGGGAGGAAGGAACCCACGATCAAAGCCGGCTTGTGGAAAAGGGGCTGGGGAAAGAGCCAGGAGAGAAGGAGGTGGCACTTAAGGGTGCGTCCTCGTGCCTCCTCCAGAGATGCCACCCCAAGGGTGCAACCATTAAATTTCCTCTTATTGCACGTGGGAAAGTTAATGTACCACTCACACATCCCAAGGTGCTGTTGAATTAAAAAATCCCGTATCATAGGATTTCAGAAGCACTTTCTAATGTCAAGTGTCCTGTGAATATTACGGAGTGGTGAGGCATTACGTTAAATAAGCTGAGAGGAACCGAGAGCTCCTAAGGTAAACTACGAAGCTGTCAGTTTCAGCCACACTCATCCACTTGGCTCACAGGGCCGGGAGCTTTAAGTAGGATTCTCCTCCTGTGGTCAGGGAGGTGGGGAATGGGAGGTGGGAGAGAGGGAGGGTGGGAGGAAGGTGAGACCGGGGCGGCCACAGAGCTACTGCAGCGTGGTCTTAAAATACGGCTTGGAAGAGACTGCATTTTATAATTGTTCACAAAATGCCTCCATTTCCTAATAAAAGAGGTGTCAGGGATGAAACACAGGCCTGAGACTCACAGGACTTTGGTTGGAGTGCTAATTGTGACGGCGACTCCCTGGGTGACCCTTGCTAAGTTCCTTCCCTCCTCTGAGCCTCTGTTTGCTCATGGGCAAAATGAATAAATTGGATGACCCGAGTGGTTTCTAAATTGTGCCAAGAGGAGGTCTCTGGCTCTGAGAAAGCGCCTCTAGGGCCCTGCAGGGGGTTAAGGCTAAGTGAGGGGCTCACCCCTGATTTTACCTGATGTGTTTATTTGCGGTTCCATGTAAGATTTCCCTTGAAGAAAGGATTCTGCCACTCGAATAAAAAAGTGAAACTCGCTGGACTGGGTTTCTTAGTCTGTATAGTGAAGGGCGAACAGAACTTGCTCCGACAGCATGTTGTGGGGATTAAGTGACGACAAGCAGATGAGGTTGGTGGTGGTGGCACACACCTGGGGCTGGTGTGCAGGGAACAGGCTCACCAGACGTGAGCCATCGCCGTGAGGCTGCTGCTGCTGCTGGAGTCTTCACCTCTCCCGCACCTTCCCCCACACACTGTCACCAGATTGTAACGGCCCTCAGGAGGGGACTGATGTCCTACTTGTCTTCATGTCCCCAGAGCCTAGCCCTGGTGCTGGGCCCAGAGGTGCCATTTGGGGACAGGGAATGTGCACGCCTCCGTTCTGGTCTGGGGTTCGTGGAACCTTGGGCAAGTCCCTTCTCTTCTTGGCTGCTCTGTTTTCCTATCGTTGCCATGGAAAGATTGGACCAGGTCTGGGACAGCTGGAGACCCTGGAGGGGAGGGACAGGCAAGAAGGGGGTGATGAAGCCACTGGGTTCCCAACATGGCCCCCCTGGGACAGAATGGCTCCTCTGTTACTACCCTAAGTAAGAGTTGGTGAGAAAAACAAAAGCGCAGGTCAATAAATTTAAAACACCCTCACACACACAAATCTTCCAAAGCTGGTGTCTATTTCACACTCACGGCACATCTAGCCCCTGCTCCTCCATGGCAGAAGCCTTAAGCCTCCACTAAATATGAAAAAACAGACTTTACAAGCTGTGTCGGGAAGTGAAACCCGGCAGGTTGGACAGTAAAAATTAG